TTTCCCAATGAACTCTATTAGAAATCTACCAAGAGTTTCCTTCCATCATTGTTTCTGCTCCCTGAGAAGAGAAGGAAAAAAGTTTATTTGCAGAGGAGCTCAGTCACATTATCTTCTTTTTACAGATGTGGAAGTTAAAGCACAGAAACATGAAGTTATTTGTTCCATGTCATCCAACAGAGCAGTGGCAGACAAAAAATAGAAGTGCTCATTCTGTTGCATCACTCTGTCTTCCTGTTTTGATGAAAACATCTGAAAAGTCATTTTCATAGGTAAGTCTGTGAGAAAGATTCAGACTTCAGACTTCCTGAAAAGTCTGACAAAACTTTTAGTTATGTCATGTAAACAGGGGTTAGACAGAGTTCAGACTGAGACAAAGACTTCAAGCCTGAATTGTGGCATTTCTGTTGTACAGGTATTTATATTTTTTTGTCATTTTTTCTCATAGCAGGTATAATATTTCATCAAAAGATGCCTCAGTCTCTAGCCCCATACCTGTTGTATAACAGGATGCTGAGTCTTCTTTTTTTGTTTTCATGCTGCAGTTTTGTTTTCTTCATTCTCAAGGGTGGGTTTTCACCTTCCTGCCACTGAGAAATGTGTAAAAAAGGATGTACGTGTGACAAGAAAAGGATGATTATCCCATTAATATTCACAGTTCCATTTTAGCTCTGTTTTTTCCCATTGGTTTTACAAAATTATGCTGATTCATACCAACTGGGGCTCGTTCCCTGCTTCTCTGTAGCAACATTCCTATCTCTTGTGATCATAGAACCACAGAGTTGTACCCCTTCTTTTACCCCCCTCTCTGATTTTTCATTGTCTTCTATTTCTGTGACCCATCCTAAAAAAATTTCACAACTTGACAATTTGTACTTGTACTTCCTTTTCAGAACTCTGAGGTATGTTAGCAGTATTCCTCATCTTTGTATTGTTTCCTTCAAAGAATATATTCAATTCAGCAGCAGTTGTGTCTCCTACCTTATGCACATGTAAGAAACTGAAGAGGAAATTATATTCTTATATAATTATATATTCTTATTATATATTACACAATATAATATATTATAATATATTATAATATAATATATAATATATTCTTATTATATATTCTTATAGCTAAGAGGACAAGAGTTACGAGATGTGACTGTCCCTTTAGGCACTCACTCCATAAATCTGAGTTTACTGCTTGATGTCTTCATTTGTTATACACAGTATGTTGATAAAATTCTTAGCCCCACAACATATTTTATCTTTTTGGATTAGAAGCACTCGTGGCCAGTCCCAGTTTCTTGTGGGACAATTAAGTATTACTACAAGCCTGAGCTCTCTTACGATTCCCAGGCAAATCCAAAGCAAAGCAAAACAAAAAAAAATCCCCATCAGCAATGTACTCTCTGTTGCATCAGTAACTTGTGGTTTGCCAGAGAAATGTGTTGGAGTAGGCTACCAAAAGCAGGGTTTCTAAAATGCAAGTTTTGTAAATGGATAAATGATGAAAACAAAATAGAAAGTAAGCGTTCTAGTTGGTCTATACAGAACCCAAGAGCTGTGCAGTTACTTTATTCCTTATTTTAGCAAGAGAAAAAAAAAATCTATATGATTAAAAAGCTTTAGGTAATTTTGGGGGCTGTTAAATTAAATTAATGGCCGGGGGAAACTATTATCTCACTATCTGAAGATGTCAAGCTCTGAAAGAAGTATGGTGCCTGAGGAAAATGGTGACGTTGGAAGATAAATACTGCTGAAATGTGGCCTGGATGGACATTGTGCTGTGCAAGGGAATAAACAGCATGTTAATAGCAAGGAATTCTGTTCAAGTTATGAGATGCCCCCTGGTGTTAAAAACTTTGGCTGCTTATCTCTGTCGAGATGTTGTACGTGGGCAGGGCAGGTTAAAACACCAGGATAAAACACCTAAAGCATTAAAACAGGATAAGAAAGTGTAAAAGGTAAATGGAAGCTACATTAGGACACAAAGCTGCAGGAGAGGGATTGGTAGCAATGCCATTTCGGATCTAACTGCCCTGTGCAATGAGAATGAGCTGTAAGCTCCTCAGTTTTAGGTAACATTTTCAGCAGCAGGAATTGGAGGGTGCTGTATGGTGATCCAGCTGGGGAAGGGGTCAGCAGCATTTTATGGACGCTATAAATGGAAAGGAGGCTTGAAGAGGCTTTGGAGAGCCACAGAGAGAGGAGTGTCATTCTTCACCCAGATGTCTCCTTCGTAGCACTGTGAGGGTTATGGGGCCCCCAAACTTGCCCATGCAGCCTTGTGTCTCAATTCCTATCGCCCCAAGCAACAATATACCCTGTCTTCTTCCTACAGCAACTTTTGGGGCTGCTGGGAAGAGGAGGAAGCAGGGAGGGCTCAGGAGAAAAGGAACTATTTCAGCAAAGGGGAAGGGAGGGATCGAAGGTGCTGAGCCAAAGAGGAAGGGCCTTAGAGAGCAAGGCTTTCTGTTCCTATTGCTGGGGTGAAAAATCACTGCTCCAGAGAACCTGACAGTAATTCCTGCTGCCCTGGCTTTCAGGGACAGCAGTGGTTGTGCAGGTGGAAAGCAGGTATGGCCTGTGTGCCTTGATGTTTCTGTGTGATCCAGAGCCCTGAGGAGAGTCCCTGTCCCCACGAGTGCAATGGCTACCAGGACATGATCTTACAGCAGCCTTGGAGTTCAGGCAGAACCTCATGTAAAGTATCACCTGTTAGAGAAATGCTAGTAAGTAATAGTAGTAGTATCTTGAATAAGAGAAAGAAGTGGAAATAAAATATATTCAAGGTCTGAGGTTAGGCTGGCTGTCCAAAGGAGGATTTAGAAGAGTCAGGATTTTCTTGGAACAGTCTTGTCAAGAAAGAGAAAAGAAAACCTGGAGTAGGAGAGATAAACTGGAATTCTATTCTTGTTCTAAGTTGGTAGGGATGGCTCTTCTCCAAACCTAAGTGGCAGTTCTGTATGCTATGAAGTTGTCCTGTGGTGTTGGTTATCCAGGACTTTTCTGGAAATAAGGTCACATAAACCATGGGAACCTAAATATGTATAAAGAGCAGAATCAAAATCAAGTGATTCTAAGACTTTGGGGGGGAGTTCCTGCAATATAACATATCTTTTTTTTAAACTGGATATTTAGTATTTTCCAACCTTGTTTTGGAGGACCTTCAGGAGACAAAGCAAAAGATGTTTGCTGCTTCATTCAAGTAGAAAAAAAAAAAAGAGTGTCATAAGCTATTTTCAATGCTAAATGAATACTAAATCTCAACCCTTTTTTCTGTTCTTGGAGGAAAAAAAGAATATATTATATTGTATCATTAAGAGAAAATACCAGTGGTTTAGCCAGGTAACTGATTTTAAGGCCTAAATATTTTGGAGATTTGTTACTTATTAAAGTTTTGGTTCTCATGTGGATTAGATAAGTGAGGACAAGGAAATGAGGGCAAAATCCCTTTGAACAGAATGGTGAACAGATCGATGGTGGTTGTAACAAAATTTCATTTCAGCACTTCATTACATAAAATTTTTTTTGTAAATCAAACAATTCTAGTGGTGTTCTTACAGTCTTTGTTGCCAAAAGAAATAAGATTAAAATTTCATCTTTCATTGTAATGAAAGTCTCCAGCCCTTGTGATCAGAGGAATAAAGCCTTAAAGATCTGACAAATACACAAAATGATGGCTCATCCTACAAGAGTCAATTTAAAAACAAAAATAAATGAAGAGAAAAAAGGGAAAGGGTTTGTAGTAGTTTTCAACAAAGCCATTTTGATTTTACAAAGACCAGCTCCTGGTTTTGTTAATGCTCAGTCTGGTAACACTGAGTGTGAGTCCCAAATATGTCTTCTGGCACTGCACCAATTTGAGTTAAACCAAAATATATTCTCCATTCTCCTAAATGCAACTTGTGCTGTAGCAGATCTCGGAACCAAGCTATCTGAGAGTTACAGAGCAGTGCCAGACAGTGACTGCAGGCTGGCTGGAATTTGTGATCTCTCTCCTCTTGCCACGTTTCACCACTCAGAAGAGTCAAAATGATATTGTTCAATTATTTGTCTCCTTGGCTCAGCGTTCCCTTTCTTTCATGTTCTGGACCGGTGCAGTTCTGCATGTGTTCACTAGGTGGGTCCCCACAACTGTGCACTGGGGAAGTTTGCTGAGTGGCCTGAACACACTTGGGTAACCGTATCTCCCAGTTTTATTACCAGCTTTATTACCACTTTTGGTTTGGGCAGAAATTCACTGCACCACGTGTCTCTATGTACAGTTTAATGCTGGGAAGTTATGCTTTGCTACTTTCTATACTAGTCAAAACCAAAGCTTTTCCCCTCTTTGTGAGGAATTAACTGACTACAGAAGAAAAGAAAGACTTTCTAGCTAAATTTTCAAAAATTTTCTTTCCAAGTGTTTTTTATGAGTGTGCACTTAGATTAAAAAAAATAATTACCCCCTCAACCTGACCAAAACAAAAACCCAAACACAAACCTTTAGTTCTCTCTATCCCATAATGCCCCACGGAGAAGATAAAGGAAAAATAATTCAGATATTAACAGTATTTTCAATGTCCTCTTAGAAAGTCATGGTGCTCTGACTGAGGAGGCAAGTAGCTTCTTCACTGTCTCAGGCTGTGTCTTTACCCTGCAAAGAAAGAGGACCCATTAAGCTGCAGGGAGTTCTATTCTGTATGTGCAGGCTCTTCCTGACATTCAAACTCATACACTTAAAGCCATCTCTCTTTGTGGTGTAGTCTGTGGCACTGATTTAACTTAATAACAGCTAACTCTTACTCTGGGACACTTATCTAAAGATATCTTTTCAATGCCCACTTCCTGTATCTTGGCACCTACAGAAAGAAAAGCAAAACACACTATTTCAATTATTGTGAGGTTTGGGTTTATTTTTTCCTTCTTCTTGTGTTCCCCCTCTTACCCAGGCTCACTAAGTGAATCTGTTTCATCTGCTTATTTGACATGGTAAGATAATTCATGTGGAAACCTATCAAGAAATGCAAATTTTGATCAAACTCAAGGTTTTATTTCTTGTGATTTGTGTTTAGAGGGTGAAAAAAGTGTAGAAAATTCTTACACTATGTATTACAAAGATAAGCTGAGAACTAAAATTGATTGTTTTCTTGCTCAGTAACCAACTTGCACTAAGTAAAACTTTTAGTATTTTTTGACTGTATTTAAAGTCAGAAAATCTTCATCTGTCAAATGATTAATGGAAGATGAGAAAGGCTGTCACAGAACAACTAGAGATGGTAGTACTTGATGTCAGAGATCTGGCTCAAAATTCATCCTCAGCACTGACTACATCATCTGATTTGCTGCTTCCAGCGAGCAGGTAGGTAGAACTTTCCGTGTTTTACCCAAATGAGTTTTAATGGTCTACTTGTCCTCATTTTGATGGCAAGAACCCAAACTTGGAAAAAAGCAGCTTCTGTATTGTTTTAGTTGATTTATGTCTCCAAGTGATGGCTGTGAGCTCCAGTAGTTACCTCTCCATTACCAAGCTGGTATCAGTTACAGTCTCCCTTCTTCAGCTCAGGGCCAAACCTACATTTGGGCTGAGTGCAAGCGCTCCAGGAATCCAAAGCAATGAAGAGCAGTGAGAAATTCTATGAAAACCTTGAATCAGATTTGGAAAGTTCTTGTGAGTCTGAGGCTGGAGACGACCTGGGAAGGGGCATCTCGTGCTCTCCTGGACTAGTGTCACCCCTGTGTGTCCCTGGGCATTTACCGAAGTGTAGTGGGAGTGCTCTTCATTTCTACTTCCAGAGCTACAAAACCACAGAGCCAGACACACTGTATGAGGTTGGTCTGCTCACACTTGTCTGGCACCATCATTTCCTCTGGGAAAATGGCAAAAGCAAATAGCAACTTGTCTGTTTGCATGTAGGCGTGAGCCTCCTGAGAACGTATAATTTGGCACCGCGCATAAGCGAAGTTCAAACATCCTCAAGCCCTGAGCTGTTGACAGCTTCCCTCAGAATAGACACACAAACTGCGCAGAGCAGTTTTGGGGCTGCCTTATCTCAACATCACCTTCAAAACCTGTAATGGTTCCCAAGTCACCAAGTCACCCTGACCTGGGGAATGTGCTCGCAGCAAAGGGTGTTAACCTGTGCAGGCAGAGGGGAACAACACTTACAGTCCCACCGGGACCCTGGGGCAGGCACAGCACACTTCAGCTTCTGTGGGCATGGAATGCTTATGCCTTGCTGCCCCGCAGTGGCTGTGTTTACAAAAGGAATAATCCCCACAGTAAAGGCAATGCTGAACAATTCAAATAGTAGCAGTTTCTCAGGTTATTAGCTCTGCAGAACAGGCATTGCATTTACACTGGTTCCCTGCTTACTACTCTGAATATGAATGCAATTAAGCATAGCTGGTGTTGTCACACCTCTGCTATTGTCCCTCCTTTACAAGAGGTAGGATGGAAGTGCCAAGTATCAGTACTATAATGAAATCAGAGGGAAGTAAATACACCATATAAATATTCCAAGGCCTCTCGAGACTGACAATCAGCAAGCAAACCTTGGCTACAGCTCTGAAAATCTGCAGTTGTTAATAGAGGATTAAAGTGGTAGGGCATCCTCTGGGCTATAGCAGGATTTAACAAATGCCTGTGAATGCAACGTTCAATAGGACTCCAAGGCAAAGCTCGACTGTAACTTGGAGTCTGCACAGAGGGAAGAGCAATAGCAGTCCAGGATCATGTTACTCATCTGATTGCAAAGGGCTCTGTTTTCAGCGCTGCCCCCAGGGCTTTACCTGATCCATCCAAAGAGAAGATGTCTGCCCTTCCCACCCTGCAATCAGGCATACATAAACAACTCCAAATACTTTTCTGACTGTTCTGCCAGCTTATCCAGTGCCTGCTCTCCTGCCAAAACAACAAACTGAGCTCGTGTGGGTTGTGGTTGGGGGCAGAGTCAGGCAACAGCGGTCTGCTCGTTTCCTTTGTTTTTCACATTTCTCTTTGGCCTTTCCTTGGGTAGAATCCAAGGGATGGATCACTGCTGGTTCCATCATGATGCAGGAGGAACAGACATCACTTTTCAAACAATGACAGCTTTATGAAGCTAAACAGTCTCAGCCAAAGTCTTGATGCTATCATCAGTCATGTCTTTCTTCCCAGTCCCTGCAGGTGACTGCAGCTGGCAGCAGATCTTTTGACAGTCGGATTCTGTATGTTATCTCTGTTGGACCAAGCCTTTAAATAATTGGACAGGAAGATCTGGGAAACAGATATGCTGTTTCAAGGCATAAATAACATCGTGCTGAGTGCTGCAGAAAGCTTTTATTTAATTTAGTTTGATTTGGTTCAAATATGGTCATCTGGTTTGGCTTGCAACCAAGATTTCTGTAGATACGCACTCAGTTTCTTCTTAGACCACAGACTGTCACATACAACTCACTTCTCACTGTGCCTCCACTCTTCAGTGGGCATAAGATGATGTTCTTGACTTACAGGAAATGGAGATAAGGAGTATGGGAAGTAAGTTTGTGAGATTTTCTAATAAAAGAGATCCATATAAATAACTGAAGCACAGGACTGTTGTTGATACAGCAGAGAAATGTGCAGAGCATTGCTGGTACCCTGCCATCAGATCATGTCATATAACAGGGAGATCCATCCCTGTGATGAAAGCCAGACCATGCAAAGTAAAAACCATTTAAGCTGTTAAAGTGGAACTTAAATTTTGGGTACTTAAATTTTGTCTGACAAAGTCACAGTGATAGTGAATTAGACCAGTTATAAGGTAGAAAGTTTTTACTGGGACAGTGGTGAAACACTGGCACAGGTTGCCCAGAGAGGTGGTGGGTGCCCCATCCCTGGAAACATTCAAGGTCAGGTTGGGTGGGGCTCTGAGCAACCTGGTCTAGAGGAACATGTCCCTGCTCATTGCTGGGGGTTTGGACTAGATGAACTTTAAAGGTCCATTCCAACCCAAACCATTCTATGACTCTGTGGTTTAATTCTTCAATTTCCTTATTGCATATTGTGATGATTATCCAGAGCTTCATTTTAGGTCACAAAGTATTTTTGATAGTGATCAACTTCACATTTTAATCTGCAGGTATTAGCCCAAGGCTATTTCTTTGCTTCTAACACACCAAAATATTTACCTAAGTGGGAAAAAAAAAAAAAAAAAGAAAAAAGAAATAAAAGAACCTTGACCAAGGACACACACATTCCTGTTTGCCTTTTTTTATTACCCCACCCTTTTCCACAAAGGGACAATTTCAGCTACCTGGCCTTTTATGGAATGCAGGCTGGGAGGTGATTTCATTTTTGCTGTGTGGAGGAACGGCACAATCCCAGCAGTGACAGCATCCTGCCCCCGGTGTACCAGCAGTGCCCTTCAGCCAGAGGACCAGCAGCTCCCCAGCAGCTCTGGACCAGGGACAGCAAAGAAGCATTAGATGTTTTGACCTATGGCATTTTATGATATTTCCTTGCTTCCCAGAAGTCTGGGAGGCTCTGGATTCCTTGGCGTCTGGTTGAGCCAGGAAGATAGATTAACTGAAGGACTGTTACTGTTTTGTCTTGGGTGAGGCCTTGTGGGCAGCCAGCTGTTTTATTTTGTGTATTGCACAAAAGGTTCCTTTAAATCTGTGTGTTCTGGGGGTGAGGGCTTAGAAGAGAGAGGATAAACTGTGGGATATTTTTTTTTTCTTTGCGCAGCAGTCTTCACTAGCCAACACTGTTGGCAAAAGCAGGCAGAAGAGAGAAATCCCATTAGAGCAATGCTCACACACTGCCCTGTCATGCAAAGTTTAGGCCAGAAGGTTCAGTCCAATATGGTGCTAAGGGTCTGATTTTAAAATTATCTCACTGCCTGTCCCAGGTGTTACAGGGTGCTCTTGGAGCAGCACAGTATGCTGAACAGTTCTGAAAGTCAGGATCCAAGAGTCTCATGCTGTGGCTGGACCACAGTTCCCATGGTCTTGTGTACACGGGGAGCTCTGCTGACTTCAGTGGGTTTCTCCATAGACCAAAGTGTTCACCTAGAATTGAATGTTTATCTGTTTGCAGATCATGGGTGTCCTACATGCTGTTCAAGAGACAGCCTGAACAAAACCAGGAGGCACTGTGAGGTCAGTGATATTTGTGTAATCCACATGACATGGGCTTTCTCAGATCATCCTTTTATAATGCCATATTCTTGTAACACAGTTCTTACTCTCTTTCACATCTGAAAACAGAAAAATTATTGTGTGCTCGCTGCAGTATATCTCTTCCTGCCAAAGCTGCCTCAGAACAGAAGGAATAGACAGCTTGCTTTTCCAGCTATGGCTTTTTAAAACATTTTTATCTGATTCAGTTGGGCTCCCAGAGAATGTTCCATGGATGTGTAGCTTATTATATTATTACTGCAGTGTATCTGTGTTAAACCCTTTATCATTCCACAGCCCTTTGAAATAGGGAAGGCTTATAAATCCTGATTTACAAATGAGAAACAGTAGCACAGGACTTAACCCCTGTAAGATTTCTCTTGGGCAAAATTCCCACATGGGAAGAGTCTTTTGCCTTCTTTGTTCTTGTCTCAGACCACTAATGTCAGTGGCGGTGAATGAACCGTGTGGGATTGGGTCCATGCTGGAGAAAGGAGATATAACCTGACCTGCTGTAGTTGCCACTTGTTTCAATAAAAACTGTGAGCACGTGGTACTCTCGAAAGGTGGGTCTGAAATGATTTGCAGTGGCCCCCCTCTAACTGCTTGTGAGAAAACTGCCAGTTAATTTGCTAGTTTGGGTCCTTCCTGACTGAAAGACAGAAAATGTGGTATAAAAGCAGATACATCACCCATTCTGGGGTACCAAGGAAGGCATTTCTGTGTAAGTCTTGACCTGTCTTTGTTTTCTTATGCAAACTATAATGAGCGAAAAATAAAATTGATAAGCGTATTAATAAGTTAATAATTAACTTACTTAACAATGTTGGCCTTCGGATTGCCATTAGGAGGCATTTAAGCTAATACAGAGGTCTCTGAATTCTTATTCCAGGTTCCTTGCACACCTGCCTGTCTGTACTGATCAAATTCTTGAGGTGTTCCTCACAGCTGGTAGGAGACAGAAACTTGAACAGCATGTGTGCGTGTGTTGTATGGCCTGGGTAGAGTCCACACAGCTAAAAGAAACTCAGCTCTCAGGTTTCCAGGTTTATATATAGGTTTTTTTCTGATGCAACAAAATGCAAAACAAACTCATAATGTGTTTGGACCCATCCCAAACTGTGGGTGAACACAGTTTAAACCCCAAGACAGTGTAAACAGAAAGGTGTTTGCTGCATTCAGGCTTCTGTCCTTGGATTCACCCAGACAGTTCCAAACTCTTTTTGGTTTTCCTGTCAAGTTTCTGGATCTAACTAGACCAACCAAGATCTCACTGATGCATGAAATAAGATCTATAACATTGATGTCAGCAGTATAATCTGAGATGTAAATTAGACTGTCAGCTTAAAAACTGGCATTGTAGTGGTGACCCTCAGTCTCCAACCCCTCCATTACTTCACTGCTTGCCAAGGAGACTTGGACTAAAACTTGCTGAGCAAGTGTTGCTTTTCACCCCAGGAACTTGTGCTCTCTGCCTGTGGCTTGGGCCTTGCAACTCAGTGGTAGATCTGCTTTGTGACTGGAGCAAGTCCCATAATTATTTTATTCATAAATAATGAATTATTATTATAATTCCATTTGAAAACGCATCTCAAATTAGCTCATTTTTAGCAATTTACTGCAATACTTAAAGATAAATGGATGGCAAAACTGGGAATTGGAGTTTCTGGAAAGGTAGTTTCAGAAACTCCAAGTCTCAGGGGCCTTTTTCCTTTTTTTTTTTTTTTTTGCTTATCACAGAGATGGGAGAATTTATCCACCAGATATATTAAAAATACCACTCAAGTGTTCTTTGGTTTTGTGTGCAGGATTGTGTATAGAAGTGTACAGTCCTCATACCTATTTCAGGAGTTTGCCATTTACCCACCAAGGAATGGATCCACAATGCTGAAAGGAGTGTTTATTTGTATGTCACCTCTGTAGAATCTGCATTACCTCAAGAGAACATTTAGGGATAAGAACAGTGACAGGACCTGAAGTGAATGGCCTGAAGTTGTCTCAAGGGAGGTTTATATTTGGTATTAGAAAAGGGTTCTCACCCAGAGGGTGCTTGGGCACTGAACAGGCTCCCCAGGAAGTGGTCACAGCACCAAGGCTGCCAGAGTTCAAAAAGTGTTTGGACAATGCTCTCAGGCACAGGGTGTGACTCCTGGGGATGGTCCTGTGCAGGGCCAGGAGTTGGACTCGATGATCCTTGTGGGTCCCTTCCAACTTGGCATATTCTCTGATTCTGTGACACTTAAACCCACAAGATTTTCCATAATGGAAGATATTACAGACAAATACAAGATGGGTCAGTAAGTTTCTGTTTGTCAATAAAGCCCTTCCACAGCTGCTCTGACATCTCATCCAGGAAGAGGTTGACATATTGATTAGTTTCTGCTGTCTGTGCCACACTCGGCTCATCTGGAATTGAGAGCCACATCTTTCTAGTGATAAAGGAATTACTCTGAGTCTCCTGGAACAGCTGTTCCAGCCTGAAGTACACTGTCCTGTCACCTACCTCTGGTAATAACACTTTCCCTTCTTATCTGTTATGATAGGGCACTCTGCCTCATGTTAAGGAAATAAGGCCATTACTGTACTCTACTCTCTGTAAAATGCCTCATTTTTCTGTTGTACAGTTTGATTAAAACACATTCTTGGTTTCAGTTTTGAAATGGTTTTGGTTTTGATTGGGGTTTTATTTCCCCCCCCCTTACAGGTCCCTTCAGACAGGGTGCTTAATTTTTCAAATTGTAACATATAAATATATAATGTGCAATTCATAAATAATACATAATTATAATAATTCCATTTGAAAACCCATCTCAAATTAGCTCATTTTTAGCAATTTACTGCAATACTTAAAGATAAATGGATGGCAAAACTGGGAATTGTACTGGAATTTCTGGAAAGATAGTTTCAGGAACTCTTAGTCTCAAGGGCCTTTTTTCCTTTTTTTTTTTTTTTTGCTTAGCACAGAGATGAGAGAGTTTACCCACCAGATATATTAAACATACCACTCAGGTGTTCTTCAGTTTTGTGTGCAGGGTTGTGTATAGGAGTGTACAGTCCTCAAACCTTTACACCTCTGGTGTAACCTGGTTTTTTTTCAGATGTTTTTACCTATGTAAGATTTTGAACTTGGTACAGAATAAACGTGGTCTCAGCACGGTGTGAAAAGCTCTAACACCGTCCTTGCATTAAAGCTGCCCCTGTCTGACACAACAGTACAAAGTTCAGGCTGAACTGGATGGACTGTTCTGATACAATTTTCTTTATCTTATCAAAAGTTCCCCAGTGAGCCAGGTGAGTCCTGAGCACTTCTTGGTCTCTGGTTCCCTGGCTCAGTCTCTCTCTTCAGGCTTCCTGAGTCAGTTTGCTGTTCTCTGGCCACTGTTCTCTAATATTCTGCTTATTTTTTCTCTGGTCATTTTTATCCATGCCCATATGTTAGGAATATTTTGGTTCATAAAACTCTGACTTGCCTTAATCTGCATAAGAATAAAACATTTCTTTCTCACATTTTCCTACTTCTGTCTCTGAATGTAGTCACAAAAATTTTGATTGCTGTGTATACTTACCCTGGTCATTTTGGGTTCCCTGCCACCACATTTCCTATGCACAAAATCATATTAAACTGGCTAGCAGTTTCCCCACTGACCATTTCTACATTTCCAAAATGATAACTGTATATTAAATAACAATTGCATCTTTGCAGGGACAGTCACAGCTGTGGTTGGCACCAGTAGCTTGAAGCAGTGGGCTGTAAATCTGGCTCGTGACATTTATTACATCTCTCTCCTCTGAGAAATATTCAAGTCACAGTTTAAGACCATTATGGACAATTTGTCCAGACTTCAGTGAGGCTACTACAAAATAAAAAAATCATTTTCATATGTTTAGCTCCAGTTTTATTTCTCATGATGTGTGGGTAGTGGCTCATTTTTCTGAAAGGCCTCTCTTTGGCCAACTTGCTTTCCAGCTGACCTTATAAGATTGCACCGTGTGTCTGAAAAATCAATTAAAAAAGAACTGGAATACATTTCTATTATATATTAACACGTGTCCTTGTAAAGAAGGGCCGTGATCTGGGTATGCAAAAGCTAATAATTGACCAACTTCTGGTGCCATACTATTTGTTCTATTCATTTTCTTTGCAGAAAGCATGCCAACACTTTGGAGGGACACTAAAAAAAATCTGCAGAATACTCATACCAAGTTTAAATGGGCACATTTTAAAATGTTGAGCAATGATTATCAGTGTTTATCACCAAGGACTGCAAAGCTCTTCTAACAAAAGACAGAAAGTAGATTTTATAGGCTAATGGTAGTGCATGAAAAATAGGTTTATTTTGGCTCATTGCAAGACTGAAAAAAAAAAAAAAGCCGAAGATCTAATGTGATAAAGGCACATGAAACGACTGGTTTGTGGTTTTTTTTACAAGAGACAAGTTCAGCATCTGATTTCAGGAAGTTTCTGAGGGCTCCGCGAGGTGCTCAGCATTTACACAACTGTCTGCAAACCACTCTGACACTGCAGCTGAACGGGGACCTCTGACTCGGGGGAGAAGGTCTCTTGTGGGAACAAAGAGGACAAGGCACTCCTGTGTCAGTTGAAGTGACAAGAGGGGATGTAGCCTGGAACTGTCATGTCCAGTGGCAGCTGAGAACTGATTTGGCCTCCACCCTTGTTTGCCTTCCTTAACTTGTGTGCAGTCTTTTGTTACTCACTGACCGTACTCCTTTTCCTCCAACTAGAATTGCTTTTTGCCCTGGAATTATTTCAGTTCCACAGATCTCATACCACAGGACTATTTCTTCCCTAAAATGGTTTCACTGCACTAATCCTTCACAGAATCATCATCTTAGAATCATTGAATAGTCAGGGTTTGGAGGGGACCTTAAAGATCACCCAGTTCCAACCTCTCTGCCATAGGCAGTGACACCTTCCACTAGACCTGGTTGCTCAGAGCTCCATCCAACCTGGCCTTACACAATTCCAGGGATGGAGCATCCACAACTTCTCTGGGAAATCTGTGCCAGTGCCTCACCACCCTCACGGTGAAGGATTTTTCCTTAATATCTAATCTAAACCAACTCTCCACCAGTTTGAGCCCATTTCCCCTCGTCCTATCACTACATGCCCTTGTAAATAGTTGCTCTCCATCTTTCTTGTAGGTTGCCTTCAGGTACTGCAAGGATGCAATGAGGTCACCCCAAAGCCTTCCCTTTTCCAGTCCAATTGGTATGTGGCTGGGAATCATTTTGAGTTGCTATGCTCATGGAGGTACCACAGCTTCTTTGGCTTCATGGCACTCCCAGGAGCTGCCAGGACCTCTGGAAGAGTCTCACCATGTTCAGAACTACCTCACAGGACTAAGACTAAAATAAATCACTCTTATCTCTTCTCAGTGATTTTTGGGAGAACTCACCTTTCCTTCTGGACAAGGACATATTTTCTGGCAAAACATGAGAACTTGGAGCATTTGAATAGTTAACTTCTATCCATGTTGTTTAAAGGGAATAATGGTCTTTCACCCAAATGAGTAAATTCTTTAATTCAGTTTATAACTCAAAATGATCTTGAAAGACGAGCTAATCTCTGGGGCTTTCAATTCCAGCTTTGTAACCTGAGAGCACCAAAATTTTAGGATTCCATTTTTTTTTCTCTGACTAAGAGGTAGGCTGGGGGCTGTATTGGAACAATGTAATGGCAGGGCAGACTCAGCTGTGGTATCCAGCTGTGAATGGACACTTATTTTTTGGTAGTCATTCCTCATTGGGCCTAATTCTGAGATTAACATTTACATTCTGGGTGGAAACATATTCCAATCACTTGTTATCACCCTGTTATCATACTGAATATAATCCCTTTCATGCATATATTGCCATTGTCTTTTTTGTCCGTTTCTCATTGAAAATCCATTCCAGAACTTACTTGCTCTTCCAAAGAAACTTCTTCCAATTCTCTATGTTTACATGCCCATTTTTTTTAATATTTGTTCTTATATCAGTTTTAGATTTCAACTTAATAAATCTGAGCTGGAGCAGAGAACACTGTCAGAGTCAGGTTGATGCTTTCTGAAAGAGCTTATAAATCCATAGTTCCAGTGCTCTCCAGTTTTCTTCAAGGAGAAAGTACATGTCTCCTCCTGCCCAGTGTCACTTTGATACCAAAAGCTTTTTATTTGCTTGGAGCAATTCTTCACTTTTGGGGGTTGTTTTAATTTGGCTTTTGCAACTGAAATATCTGATCTCTCATAGAAGTTATTAAAGAGAAAATCATGATATACTACCCAGGATCACCTTTGCTACTAAGTGCTTACAAAAACGGTAAGTAATGAAACGGTTTCACTGTGAAAAGAATTAATGAGAGACATGATTTTTTACAGATAAGAAAACGGTATCGTTCACTCAGCTCTACCATTGAAGCTGCAATTTTTTGTGTCATTCAGTGATAAATATTTGCGTGACCTTTGACATGTATTTGTGTGGGTATTGGGATTTCCTCAGCTTCTCTTTTAGTGCTAATGAGCAGAATGTACTAAAAATAT